TGTTGTATGATCATTGTTGTATGATCATTTTTGTATGATCATTGTCGTATGGTAATTGTTGTATGATTATTGTCGTATGGTAATTGTTGTATGATGTAGGGTCGTTGATCATTGTCGTATGATCATTGTCGTATGACCATTGTCGTATGGTAATTGCTGTATGATCATTGTTTTATGATCATTGTTGTATGATCATTGTTGTATGATCATTTTTGTATGATCATTGTCGTATGGTAATTGTTGTATAATCGTTGTTGTATGATAATGTCGTATGATCATTGTCGTATGGTAAGTGTTGTATGATCATTGTTGTATGGTAAGTGTTGTATGATCATTGTTGTATGATCATTGTCGTATGGTAAGTGTTGTATGATCATTGTTGTAAGGTAATTGTTGTATGATCATTGATGTTTGATCATTGTCGTATGGTCATTGTCGTATGATTATTGTCGTATGATTATTGTTGTATGGTAATTGTTGTATGATCATTGTCGTATGATCATTGTTGTATGATCATTGTGGTATGATTATTGTTGTATGATCATTGTCGTATGGTAATTGTTGTATGATCGTTGTTGTATGATAATTGTTGTATGATTATTGTCGTATGGTAAGTGTTGTATGATCATTGTTGTATGATCATTGTCGTATGGTAATTGTTGGATGATCATTGTTGTATGATTATTGTCGTATGGTAATTGTTGTATGATCATTGTTGTATGATCATTGTCGTATGGTAATTGTTGTATGATCGTTGTTGTATGATCATTGTAGTATGGTAATTGTTGTATGATCGTTGTTGTATGATATTTGTTGTATGATATTTGTCGTATGGTAAGTGATGTATGATCATTGTTGTATGATCATTGTCGTATGATAATTGTTGTATGATCATTGTTGTGTGGTAATTCTTGTATGATCATTGTTGTGTGGTAATTCTTGTATGATCATTGTCGTATGGTAATTGTTGTATGATCATTGTTGTATGATTATTGTCGTATAGTAATTGTTGTATGATCATTGTCGTATGATCATTGTCGTATGGTAATTGCTGTATGATCATTGTTGTATGATCATTGTAGTATGATCATTGTTGTACGATTACTGTCGTATGATTATTGTCGTATGGTAATTGTTGTATGGTAATTGTTGTATGATCATTGTCGTATGGTAATTGTTGTATGATTATTGTCGTATGGTAATTGTTGTATGATCATTGTGGTATGATTATTGTCCTATGATAATTGTTGTATGGTAATTGTTGTATGATCATTGCTGTATGATCATTGTCGTATGGTAATTGTTGTATGATCATTGTTGTATGATTATTGTCGTATGATCATTGTCCTTTCATCATTGTAATATGATAATTGTCGTATGATCATTGTCGTATGATCATCGTTGTATAATCATTGTTGTATGGTAATTGTTGCATGATCATTGATGTATGGTAATTGTTGTATGATCATTGATGTATGGTAATTGTTGTATGATCATTGTAATATGATAATTGTCGTATGATCATTGTCGTATGATCATTGTTGTATGATAATTGTCGTATGGTAATTGTTGTATGATCATGGGTGTAGGGTGCATTTTCATTGATGTATGGTTATCTATGTGTTATCATTAATGTATGATCATTGATGCATGACAATTGGTGTATGATCATTGTTGTGTAGTTATTGGTATATGATAATTGGTATTTGCGGAATGATGTATGATCATTGAGGCATGATCATTGGTGCATGATCATTTGTGTATACAGAATGATGTATGATGATCAGTGGTGCATGGTCATTGGTGTAAGATCTTAGGCGTATGATCATTGGTGTATATAGAATGTACTATAATAAATGGTGTATGATCAGTGGTATATGATCAGTTGTGTATGATTAATGGTGTAAGTTCAGTGGTTTATGATCATATGTGTATGATTAATGGTGTATGTTCATAGGTTTATGGTTATTGATGTATGAATGTTGGTGTTAAAACTTTGGTGTATGGCCATTGGTGTATGCATGTATGATCAATGGCGTATACTCATTGATGTATGGTTATTGATGTATGCTATTTGTTGTATGATCATTGATGTATAATCATATATGTATGGTCATTGTTGTATAGTCACTGGTGTATCGTCGCTGTTGTATAGTCATTGGTGTATGGTCGTTGATGTAAACCCATTTATGTATTGTCGTTGATGTATAGTCATTTATGTATGGTCGTTGATGTAGAGTCATTTATGTATGGTCTTTGATGTTTAGTCATTTGTGTATGGTCGTTGGTTTAAATTCATTGTTGTATGGTTGTTGATGTTTAGTCATTTATGTATGGTCGTTGATGTATAGTCATTTAGTATGGTCGTTGATGTATAGTCATTTATGAATGGTCGCCGTTGTAAAGTCATTGGTGTAGGGTCGTTGATGTATAGTCATTTATGTAGGGTCGTTGATGTAGAGTCATTTATGTATGTTTGTTGATGTTTAGTCATTTATGAATGGTCGTCGTTGTAAAGTCATTGGTGTAGGGTCGTTGATGTATAGTCATTTATGTAGGGTCGTTGATGTAGAGTCATTTATGTATGTTTGTTGATGTTTAGTCATTTATGTATAGTCGTTGATGTATAGTCATTGTTGTATGGTCGTTGATGTATAGTCATTTATGTATGGTCGTTGATGTAGAGTCATTTATGTATGGTCGTTGATGTATAGTCATTTATGTTTAGTCGTTGATGTAAAGTCATTTATGTATGGTCATTGATGTAGAGTCATTTATGTATGGTTATTGATGTTTAGTCATTTATGTATGGTCGTTGGTTTAAATTCATTTATATATGGTCGTTGATGTATAGTCATTTATGTATGGTCGTTTATGTATAGTCATTTATGTATGGTCGTTGATGTAGAGTCATTTATGTATGGTCGTTGATCTTTAGTCATTTATGTATGGTCGTTGTTGTTAAGTCATTTATGTATGGTTGTTGATGTTTAGTCATTGTTGTATGGTCAATCTAGCTCATGCCCTATAATATATTTATTACATCCATCAAATTTATTTGATAATGAAAAAGAAAGAGAAGTTTACTATCCAAATTCGAGTTATATCTGCATGTAAATATGGCGTTTATTATCGACATTTATAAATATTTATGTATATCTATATATACAGTTTATGATGTATACTCATGTTGATTAGATAAATATATTTGAGGCTAGCGGTCTGTGTGTAGGGGGGGGGGGGTGAAGGTGTGTGTTTATATATAAGTGCCTTAGATACGCGTGTCATGCTGCAAGTACGTTAAAACTATAGAAACCAAACTGAATGTTTACCGCATTTTGAGAAACCTATATGAACCTGTTTATGTACATCTGTATCCTCCTTCTTTACTCCCCATGTTTACCCAATTGTGATCCTGTACTGGTTTTATGCTACTATGTCATGATAACACTCTTCTATCGTCGTAAGGGATATAAATGTTGACCTCCTCACTGTTGACAATAACCATGCTCTTCTAGACATGAAACATGTTTACCACCTGACAAACGTTATCGACAGACCAACTAGAATTGGGCGCACGTGCAACACACTACTTGACCCCATTCTTCTATCAGACACGTGTAATTTTACGATATCGGACGTAATTGACATAGACCGCGACATTTCGGACCACTAAGCAACATCTGTAGAACTGACTGTAGGGACAAATACTGTAAAAAATTATAAGTGGATTTTTTTTGTTATATAGACGCATATTAACGGTTTAACAATTTACTTTTAGCAATTGACTGGACTGAAATTTTTAGGTCACCTGAAACAAAGTCTCAAGTGACCTATTGCGATCGCATTTTGTCCGGCGTCGTCCGTCGTCCGTCGTCCGTCGTGCGTCCGTAAACAATTTACATTTTTGACTTCTTCTCCAAAACCCCTGAACCAATTTCAATGAAATTTTGCAGAAACCTGCCATGGCCAAAGGTCAACAAAAATTGGCCTGAGGTGCGGGCCCAAAAAGGGTCAAATTGACTAAAATTTCAAAAATCTTCTTCTAAAGAACCAGATATCGTAGAATCAAATACTCTTCATAGATGGAAGGGTCTTAAGGTGCTTTTCAAAAACTATGAATTTCTTGACCCTGGGGTCTCACGTTTCCCCCTTGGGAGGGGGTAAACTTTACTACAGTTTATATAGGGAAATCACATTTTAGACCAATATTTGTTTAATTTCCATTGGAAGTAATTCAATTTGGGTAAGCATTATCAGTTTTGGGTTGCAGTTTGATGGTATGCACATATGAGCCCTGACTGACCCCCAGGGGCTGATGGGTGGGGCCAAAAAAAGTCGAAAGTCAGATGAATCAATTGATATAGGTTTGAAGTGCTAGTGTAACAAAGCACCGAATATTGAAAATCCGAAACGCTGAGAACAGCGCGACCTCGAAATTGTACATGTTAAGCGAGAACGTAGGTTTTAGGCTCCGCATTTGCTAAAACAACTGGAAGATAATAGTTATCAGGTACATAATCTTGATGACATGACACTCAGGTATTTTTTACTAATTACTAACTATAGGTTGCTGCTATAGCCCGGCCTCTTTAGATTAGATCAGTATAAAACTAGCCTCTGGAGCATCTGACAATTAGACCTAATATGAATGATTCATTATGAAATGCGAGTGTAGATTACACGTCTGGGACCTTTCTTGTAATTGAACGATAAGAACAGATATATCTCGCTTTGTAACTGTTCACCGTAGTCAAACATTATTATAAAGTCAATTAGGGCTCCCACTCATAAGTTATGTGAACACCAGGTATGACTGATTTGTTCATTGCGCGTGACTGCCGTGTTAGTAAACGACGTTTACCCCTATCTGCGGCTAAGTTGTGGAACCGTCGTTAGCTCACACTGTCTATGTCTTAATACCAGTAAACTGTAAGTCCACGAGTAATTAACTAACCTTACTAGTTACCCTGACAGTACTCAAGAGGAGTTAACTAACAATGCTGGTTCTACTGATATTCAGCGTTATGTTTGTGTGTTCTGTTGATGCTATCACAATACGTAACAGGACGTTCGCCATTCATACCGAGTTTAGTGACATCATGTACGGCGACGGACTAATCACCAACTACACACTGACCAGTCTAACACTGTGCGGAGTGTACTGTGGTGTACAGAACTGCCTTTCCTTCTCGTACAGTAATAAGACAGGGATATGTCGTACGTACTCCACGTCCTTTCCTCTGTGTGAACCAACTCCATCGGCGAACCAGAACAGCGGATCATCCTTACCTTTCTATAGGGAGCTCGACTACCGTAAGATACAACATAGACAGGGAGCTCGATTACCGTTATATGATAAATAGACAGGGAACTCGATTACCATAAGATACTACATAGACAGGGAGTTCGATTACCCAAAGATACTACATAGACAGGGAGCTCAATTACCGTAAGATACTACAAAGACAGGCAGCTCGATTACCGTAAGATACTACATGGACAGAGAGCTCGAATTCCCGTAAGATGCTTCATAGACAGGGAGTTCGATTACCGTAATATACTTCATAGACAGGGATCTCGATTACCGTAAGATACTACATAGACAGGGATCTCGATTACCGTAAGATACAACATAGACAGGGAGCTCGATTACCGTAAGATGCCACATAGACAGGGAGCTCGATTACCGTAAGATACTACATAGACAGGGAGTTCGATTTCCGTAAGATACTACATAGACAGGGAGCTCGATTACCGTAAGATACTACATAGATAGGCAGCTCGATTTCCGTAATATACTACATAGACAGGCAGCTCGATGACCGTAAGATACAACATAGACAGGGAGCTCGATTATCGTAAGATACTTCATAGACAGGCAGCTCGATAACCGTAAGATACTACATAGATAGGCAGCTCGATTTCCGTAATATACTACATAGACAAGGAGCTCAATTACCGTAAGATACTACATAGACAGGCAGGTCGATTACCGTAAGATACTACATGGACAGGGAGCTCGAATACCGTAAGATACTTCATAGACAGGGAGTTCGATTACCGTAAGATACTTCATAGACAGGGATCTCGATTACCGTAAGATACTACATAGACAGGCAGCTCGATTACCGTAAGATACTAAATAGACAGGGAGTTCGATTAGCGTAAGATACTACATAGACAGGGAGCTCGATTACCGTAAGATACTACATAGACAGGCAGCTCGATTACCGTAAGATACTACATAGACAGGCAGCTCGATTACCGTAAGATACTACATAGACAGGTAGCTCGATTACCGTAAGATACTACATAGACAGGGAGCTCGATTACCGTAAGATACTACATAGACAGGCAGCTCGATTACCGTAAGATACTACATAGACAGGTAGCTCGATTACCGTAAGATACTACATAGACAGGTAGCTCGATTACCGTAAGATACTACATAGACAGGCAGCTCGATTACCGTAAGATACTACATAGACAGGCAGCTCGATTACCGTAAGAAACTACATGGAGAGGTAGCTCGATTACCGTAAGATACTTCATAGACAGGGAGCTCGATTACCGTAAGATACTACATAGACAGGGAGCTCGATTACCGTAAGATACTACATAGACAGGGAGCTCGATTACCGTAAGATACTACATAGACAGGGAGCTCGATTACCGTAAGATACTACATAGACAGGGAGCTCGATTACCGTAAGATACTACATAGACAGGGAGCTCGATTACCGTAAGATACTACATAGACAGGGAGCTCGATTACCGTAAGATACTACATAGACAGGGAGCTCGATTACCGTAAGATACTACATAGACAGGGAGCTCGATTACCGTAAGATACTACATAGACAGGGAGCTCGATTACCGTAAGATACTACATAGACAGGGAGCTCGATTACCGTAAGATACTACATAGACAGGGAGCTCGATTACCGTAAGATACTACATAGACAGGGAGCTCGATTACCGTAAGATACTACATAGACAGGGAGCTCGATTACCGTAAGATACTACATAGACAGGGAGCTCGATTACCGTAAGATACTACATAGACAGGCAGCTCGATTACCGTAAGATACTACATAGACAGGTAGCTCGATTACCGTAAGATACTACATAGACAGGGAGCTCGATTACCGTAAGATACTACATAGACAGGCAGCTCGATTACCGTAAGATACTACATAGACAGGTAGCTCGATTACCGTAAGATACTACATAGACAGGGAGCTCGATTACCGTAAGATACTACATAGACAGGCAGCTCGATTACCGTAAGATACTACATAGACAGGTAGCTCGATTACCGTAAGATACTACATAGACAGGGAGCTCGATTACCGTAAGATACTACATAGACAGGCAGCTCGATTACCGTAAGATACTACATAGACAGGTAGCTCGATTACCGTAAGATACTACATAGACAGGTAGCTCGATTACCGTAAGATACTACATAGACAGGGAGCTCGATTACCGTAAGATACTACATAGACAGGGAGCTCGATTACCGTAAGATACTACATAGACAGGTAGCTCGATTACCGTAAGATACTACATAGACAGGTAGCTCGATTACCGTAAGATACTACATAGACAGGGAGCTCGATTACCGTAAGATACTACATAGACAGGCAGCTCGATTACCGTAAGATACTACATAGACAGGTAGCTCGATTACCGTAAGATACTACATAGACAGGTAGCTCGATTACCGTAAGATACTACATAGACAGGCAGCTCGATTACCGTAAGATACTACATAGACAGGCAGCTCGATTACCGTAAGAAACTACATGGAGAGGTAGCTCGATTACCGTAAGATACTTCATAGACAGGGAGCTCGATTACCGTAAGATACTTCATAGAGAGGTACATTTTAGCTCGATTACCGTAAGATACTACATAGACAGGCAGCTCGATTACCGTAAGAAACTACATGGAGAGGTAGCTCGATTACCGTAAGATACTACATAGAGAGGCAGCTCGATTACCGAAAGATACTTCATAGAATTGTAGCACTCCTTTCTCGAACTTGTCATTATTCATGTCAGTCGATAGATGTTTTATATAGAAACAGATTTCGGATTTTATTCGATTCAGAAACAGAACGGAATTTCGTCCAAATTAAGTAGCCTGGATTAAAAGATGCAGTGAGCGTGGAAAGGATGTTTTTGTTACTTATAAAGTTATTAGGAATGTCGTCAGTATGAATGTAAAATCTAACTCGTTCATATCGCCTTTACATCGTATCCTTATCAAATCTAAACTTTTTGATATTGTATTTCAGAACAACAATTCTGTCCATGCAATTGGGATCTCAACGATGGAACCTGGACTGTAAGTTCCTGTAGATATACATAGACTGTAACTTACTGTAGATATACCTAGACTGTAACTTACTGTAGATATACCTAGACTGTAACTTACTGTAGATATACCTAGACTGTAACTTACTGTAGATATACCTAGACTGTAACTTACTGTAGATATACCTAGACTGTAACTTACTGTAGATATACCTAGACTGTAACTTACTGTAGATATACCTAGACTGTAACTTACTGTAGATATACCTAGACTGTAACTTACTGTAGATATACCTAGACTGTAACTTACTGTAGATATACCTAGACTGTAACTTACTGTAGATATACATAGACTGTAACTTACTGTAGATATACCTAGACTGTAACTTACTGTAGATATACCTAGACTGTAACTTACTGTAGATATACCTAGACTGTAACTTACTGTAGATATACCTAGACTGTAACTTACTGTAGATATACCTAGACTGTAACTTACTGTAGATATACCTGGACTGTAACTTACTGTAGATATACCTGGACTGTAACTTATTGTTGATATACCTGGACTGTAACTTACTGTCGTTCGGTCGTTAGGTCGTTCTCATTATATCACTGTCGAACAAAAGGAGTGATTTATAGATTATCACACTGTATTTTCAGGGTTTGTCGTTCGAACAATTTTCCCATCGCGAGCACGTGGATAAAATCGAGAGACTACAGCAGTTGAACTAGAGATTTTATCTACGTGCGAGCGATGAGAAAATTGTTCGAACGACAAACACTGAAAATACTGTATGATAAACTATTTATCATCTATTTACAACTACCTTATATATTTCTCCATTAAAAAAATCAATTAAAAACTATGTTTTTCAAATTACTACTAAACTCAATGGTCAATTTTTGCGCGGAGAAATACAATGAACCTTAAAACTACGTAGAAAGAAAATATTTTTAAAACAATCCTATCGTCATTGGGTTTTCCATATGCACATTAACACCTGAAATGGTGTTGTTATTCTCACAATATTTTTCCGTATCTTTGTAATGATATGTTTATGACGGACTATTTTCTTACGCGAATCACTTTTGTGTGGACCTTATTTCCGATTTTGGACGTCATCTGGCGCGAGCAGACGTTCTTTTTTGAGAAAATACGTTCCAAAGTGCTGAGGAATGGGAAAATCCCTTCTCAAGTTGTTCTCAAGTTGATATTTAATTGATCATGCTACCGGTAGGTGGTAAAAAGTAGTATATATTTGATAAATACCGTTCTCATTATTTCACTGTCGAACTAACGGAGTGTTAGATCGTTCTAATTATTTCACTGTCGAACAAACGGAGTGTTAGATCGTTCTAATTATTTTACTGTCGAATAAACGGAGTGTTAGATCGTTCTAATTATTTTACTGTCGAAAAAACGGAGTGTTACATCGTTCTAATTATTTCACTGTCGAACATTAGATGTTTTAGGTCCTACTACGTTGTTCACTGTAGAACATTAGATGTTTTAGGTCCTACTAAGTTTTTCACTGTAGAACATTAGATGTTTTAGGTCCTACTAAGTTTTTCACCGTAGAACATAAGGAGATTTAGATTCTACTCATTTTTTTTACTGTGGAACATTAGTAGTTTTTGGTTCCACTCCTGTTTTCACTGCAGCACAGTTTTAGGTCCTACTCATTATTGCACTGTCGAACAAACGGAGTGTTGTATCGTTCTCATTGTTATACTATAAAACGTATGGAGTGTTATATCGTTCTCATTATTTCACTGTATAACAATAAGAATGTTATATCGTTCTCATTATTTCACTGTCGAACAAACGGAGTGTTATGTCGTTCTCATTATTATACTGTAGAACAAAAGGAGTGATTTATAGATTATCACACTGTATTTTCAGGGTTTGTCTTTCGAACAATTTCCTCATTTCGAGCACGTGGATAAAATCGAGAGGCTACCGCAGGTGAACTAGAGATTTTATTTACGTGCGAGCGATGAGAAAATTGTTCGAACGACAAACACTGAAAATACTGTATGATAAACTATTCAGCATCTATATACTACTACCTTATATATTTCTCCATTTAAAAAAATCAACTAAACACCATGTTTTTCAAATTACTACTAAACTCAATAGTTAACGATCGCCTGTGACAAACGTAAACAAATAGAATTTTTGCGCGGAGAAATACAATGAACCTTAAAACTACGTAGAAAAAAAAAATATTCTCACAATATTTTTCCGTAATCCTATTTTTTTTTTTTTTAGGAGAGTTTTAGGTCCTACTAATTTTTTCACTGTGGAACATTAGGAGTTTTAGGTACTTCTCTCCTATTCATTATATCACGATCGAACATAAGGAGTGTTAGGTCGTACACATTCATTTGATTTATTTGATTATAAGATGTCCCTTATACCCTTTTACTTATAATTTGATTTATTCACTAGGTAATACATCAGCGATTCGATGGTTCTGTGGACTTTGAAAGGGATTGGAGTTCTTATAGAAATGGATTTGGCAACAATCCAAGTGGGGAATTTTGGATTGGTAAGTAATCCCCACGCCCATGATTGTAAGTACGGCCATATTACAATGTTGTGTAGGGAATCCTCGTTACATGTCGGTATTATTTCATTGTCGAGTCAAACATAGGTTTGTCTTCTTTGCATTCTCAGGTCGGCCGGTAAGACCATATTGTAAATATTTCATTCAACCTTATCTTGAATGGAAGGTTTAGTCGATGATATAGTTTTACTTCCTCGTAGTCCCAAGACGTCAGGTCTATCGTTTTAATTTTATATTCCTCCTTGTCCACAACTTACGGTTAAGTTAATACTGCCATTGTTCTTCTTCATTGTATCCCCAAGTCAACTGTAAAGTTGAACTGCCATTGTTCTTCCTCCTTGTATCCCCCATTCGACTGTAAAGTTAATACTGCCATTGTTCTTCCTCCTTGTATCCCCAAGTCAACTGTAAAGTTGAACTGCCATTGTTATTCCTCCTTGTATCCCCCATTCGACTGTAAAGTTAATCCTGCCATTGTTCTTCCTCCTTGTATCCCCCAGTCGACTGTAAAGTTAAACTGTCATTGTTCTTCCTCATTGTATCCCCCAGTTGACTGTTAAGTTAAACTGTCATTGTTCTTCCTCCTTGTATCCCCCAGTCGACTTAAAGTTAATACTGCCATTGTTCTTCCTCATTGTATCCCCCAGTCGACTGTAAAGTTAATACTGTCATTGTTCTTCCTCCTTGTATCCCCCAGTCGACTGTAAAGTTAATACTGCCATTGTTCTTCCTCCTTGTATCCCCCAGTCGACAGTAAAGTTAAACTGTCATTTTTCTTTCGACTGTATCCCCCAGTCGACTGTAAAGTTAAACTGCCATTGTTCTTCCTCCCTGTATCCCCCAGTCGACTGTAAAGTTAATACTGCCATTGTTCTTCCTCCTTGTATCCCCCAGTCGACTGTAAAGTTAAACTGTCATTGTTCTTCCTCCTTGTATCCCCCAGCTTCCTCATTGTATCCCCTCCTTGTGTCCCCCAGTAAACTGCCATTGTTCTTCCTCCCTGTATCCCCCAGTCGACTGTAAAGTTAATACTGTCGTTGTTCTTTCTCCTTGTGTCCCCCAGTCGACTGTAAAGTTAATACTGCCATTGTTCTTCCTCCTTGTATCCCCCAGTTGACTGTAAAGTTAATAGTGTCGTTGTTCTTCCTCCTTGTATTCCCCAGTCGACTGCTCAGTTAATACTGCCATTGTTCTTCCTCATGGTATCCCCCAGTCGACTGTAAAGTTAAACTCTCATTGTTCTTCCTCCTTGTATCCCCTAGTCGACTGTTCAGTTAATACTGTCGTTGTTCTTCCTCCTTGTATCCCCCAGTTGACTGTAAAGTTAATACTGTCGTTGTTCTTCCTCCTTGTATTCCCCAGTCGACTGCTCAGTTAATACTGCCATTGTTCTTCCTCATTGTATCCCCCAGTCGACTGTAAAGTTAAACTGCCATTGTTGTTCCTCCTTGTATCCCCCAGTCGACTGTAAAATTAAAACTGCCATTGTTCTTCCTCCTCGTATACCCCAGTTGACTGTAAAGCTAAACTGTCGTTGTTCTTCCTCATTGTATCCCCCAGTTGACTGTAAAGTTAAACTGTCATTGTTCTTCCTCCTTGTATCCCCCAGTCGACTGTAAAGTTAATACTGTCGTTGTTCTTTCTCCTTGTATCCCCCAGTCGACTGTAAAGTTAATACTGTCGTTGTTCTTTCTCCTTGTGTCCCCCAGTCGACTGTAAAGTTAATACTGTCGTTGTTCTTTCTCCTTGTGTCCCCCATACCCCAGTTGACTGTAAAGCTAAACTGTCGTTGTTCTTCCTCCTTGTATCCCCCAGTCGACTGTAAAGTTAAACTGTCATTGTTCTTTCTCCTTGTATCCCCCAGTCGACTGTAAAGTTAATACTGCAATTGTTCTTCCTCCTTGTATCCCCCTGTCGACTGTAAAGTTAAACTGTCGTTGTTCTTCCTCATTGTATCCCCCAGTTGACTGTAAAGTTAATACGGTCGTTGTTCTTCCTTCTTGTATCCCCCAGTCGACTGTAAAGTTAAACTGTCATTGTTCTTCCTCCTTGTATCCCCCAGTCGACTGTTCAGTTAATACTGTCGTTGTTCTTCCTCATTGTATCCCCCAGTCGACTGTAAAGGTAATACTGTCGTTGTTCTTCCTCCTTGTATTCCCCAGTCGACTGTTCAGTTAATACTGCCATTGTTCTTCCTCATTGTTTCCCCTGTTGACTGTAAAGTTAAACTGCCATTGTTGTTCCTCCTTGTATCCCCCAGTCGACTGTTCAGTTAATACTGTCGTTGTTCTTCCTCTTTGTATCCCCCAGTCGACTGTTCAGTTAATACTGTCGTTGTTCTTCCTCTTTGTATCCCCCAGTCGACTGTTCAGTTAATACTGTCGTTGTTCTTCCTCATTGTATCCCCCAGTTGACTGTAAAGTTAAACTGTCGTTGTTCTTCCTCATTGTATCCCCCAGTTGACTGTAAAATTAAACTGTCGTTGTTCTTTCTCTTGTATCCCCCAGTCGACTGTAAATGTAATACTGTCGTTGTTCTTCCTCCTTGTATTCCCAGTCGACTGCTCAGTTAATACTGTCGTTGTTCTACCTCCTTGTATCCCCCAGTCGACTGTAAAGTTAAACTGTCATTGTTCTTCCTCCTTGTATCCCCCAGTCGACTGTTCAGTTAATACTGCCATTGTTCTTCCTCCTTGTATCTCCCAGTCGACTGTAAAGTTAATACTACCATTGTTCTTCCTCCTTGTATCCCCCAGTCGACTGTAAAGTTAATACTGCCATTGTTCTTCCTCCTTGTATCTCCCAGTCGACTGTAACGTTAATACTACCATTGTTCTTCCTCCTTGTATCTCCCAGTCGACTGTAACGTTAATACTACCATTGTTCTTCCTCCTTGTATCCCCCAGCTTCCTCATTGTATCCCCCAGTTGACTGTAAAGTTAAACTGTCGTTGTTCTTCCTCATTGTATCCCCCAGTCGACTGTAAAGTTAAACCGTCATTGTTCTTCCTCCTTGTATCCCCCAGTCGACTGTAAAGTTAATACTGTCGTTGTTCTTCCTCCTTGTACCCCCCAGTCGACTGTAAAGTTAAACTGTCGTTGTTCTTCCTCATTGTATCCCCCAGTTGACTGTAAAGTTAAACTGTCGTTGTTCTTTCTCTTGTATCCCCCAGTCGACTGTAAAGTTAATACTGTCGTTGTTCTTCCTCCTTGTATCCCCCAGTCGACTGTTCAGTTAATACTGCCATTGTTCTTCCTCCTTGTATCCCCCAGTCGACTGTAAAGTTAATACTGCCATTGTTCTTCCTCCTTGTATCCCCCAGTCGACTGTAAAGTTAATACTGCCATTGTTCTTCCTCCTTGTATCCCCCAGTTGACTGTAAAGTTAAACTGTCATTGTTCTTCCTCCTTGTATCCCCCAGTCGACTGTAAAGTTAATACTGTCATTGTTCTTCCTCCTTGTATCCCCCAGTTGACTGTTCAGTTAATACTGCCATTGTTCTTCCTCCTTGTATCCCCCAGTCGACTGTAAAGTTAATACTGCCATTGTTCTTCCTCCTTGTATCCCCCAGTCGACTGTAAAGTTAATACTGTCATTGTTCTTCCTCCTCGTATACCCCAGTTGACTGTAAAGTTAAACTGTCGTTGTTCTTCCTCATTGTATCCCCCAGTTGACTGTAAAGTTAAACTGTCGTTGTTCTTTCTCTTGTATCCCCCAGTCGACTGTAAAGTTAATACTGTCGTTGTTCTTCCTCCTTGTATCCCCCAGTCGACTGTAAAGTTAATACTGCCATTGTTCTTCCTCCTTGTATCCCCCAGTCGACTGTAAAGTTAATACTGCCATTGTTCTTCCTCCTTGTATCCCCCAGTCGACTGTAAAGTTAATACTGCCATTGTTCTTCCTCCTTGTATCCCCCAGTCGACTGTAAAGTTAAACTGTCATTGTTCTTCTTCCTTGTATCCCCCAGTCGACTGTTCAGTTAATACTGTCGTTGTTCTTCCTCCTTGGATCCCCCAGTCGACTGTAAAGTTAATACTGCCATTGTTCTTCCCAGTCGACTGTTCAGTTAATACTGTCGTTGTTCTTCCTCCTTGGATCCCCCAGTCGACTGTAAAGTTAATACTGTCCTTGTTCTTTCTCCTTATGTCCCCCAGTCGACTGTGAAGTTAAACTGTCATTGTTCTTTCTCCTTGTATCCCCCAGTCGACTGTAAAGGTAAACTGTCATTGTTCTTCCTCCTTGTATCCCCCAGTTGACTGTAAAGTTAAACTGTGTATCCCCCAGTCGACTGTAAAGTTAATACTGCCATTGTTCTTCCCAGTCGACTGTTCAGTTAATACTGTCGTTGTTCTTTCTCTTGTATCCCCCAGGCGACTGTTCAGTTAATACTGTCGTTGTTCTTCCTCATTGTATCCCCCAGTTGACTGTAAAGTTAAACTGTCATTGTTGTTCCTCCTTGTATCCCCCAGTCGACTGTTCAGTTTATACTGCCATTGTTCTTCCTCCTTGTATCACCTAGTCGACTGTACAGTTAAACTGTCATTGTTCTTCTTCCTTGTATCCCCCAGTCGACTGTTCAGTTAAAACTGTCGTTGTTCTTCCTCATTGTATCCCCCAGTCGACTGTAAAGTTAATACTGCCATTGTTCTTCCTCCTCGTATACCCCAGTTGACTGTAAAGTTAAACTGTCGTTGTTCTTTCTCTTGTATGTATCCCCCAGTCGACTGTTCAGTTAATACCTTGTATCCCCCAGTCGACTGTAAAGTTAAACTGTCATTGTGGTTCCTCCTTGTATCCCCCAGTCGACTGTAAAGTTAATACTGCCATTGTTCTTCCCAGTCGACTGTTCAGTTAATACTGTCGTTGTTCTTCCTCCTTGGATCCCCCAGTCGACTGTAAAGTTAATACTGCCATTGTTCTTCCTCCTCGTATACCCCAGTTGACTGTAAAGTTAAACTGTCGTTGTTCTTTCTCTTGTATGTATCCCCCAGTCGACTGTTCAGTTAATCCTGTCGTTGTTCTTTCTCTTGTATCCCCCAGTCGACTGTAAAGTTAAACTGCCATTGTTCTTCCTCCTTGTATCCCCCAGTTGACTGTAAAGTTAATACTGTCGTTGTTCTTCCTCCTTGGATCCCCCAGTCGACTGTAAAGTTAATACTGTCGTTTTTCTTCCTCCTTGTATCCCCCAGTCGACTGTTCAGTTTATACTGCCATTGTTCTTCCTCCTTGTATCCCCCAGTTGACTGTAAAGTTAATACTGTCGTTGTTCTTTCTCCTTATGTCCCCCAGTCGACTGTAAAGTTAAACTGTCATTGTTCTTCCTCCTTGTATCCCCCAGTCGACTGTAAAGTTAATACTGTCCTTGTTCTTTCTCCATATGTCCCCCAGTCGACTGTAAAGTTAATACTGTCGTTGTTCTTCCTCCTTGTATCCCCCAGTCGACTGTAAAGTTAATACTGTCGTTGTTCTTTCTCCTTATGTCCCCCAGTCGACTGTAAAGTTAAACTGTCGTTGTTCTTTCTCTTGTATCCCCCAGGCGACTGTTCAGTTAATACTGTCGTTGTTCTTCCTTCTTGTATCCCCCAGTCGACTGTTCAGTTAATACTGTCGTTGTTCTTCCTCATTGTATCCCCCAGTTGACTGTAAAGTTAAACTGTCGTTGTTCTTTCTCTTGTATCCCCAAGTCGACTGTAAAGGTAATACTGTCGTTGTTCTTCCACCTTGTATTCCCAGTCGACTGCTCAGTTAATACTGTCGTTGTTCTACCTCCTTGTATCCCCCAGTCGACTGTAAAGGTAATACTGTCGTTGTTCTTCCTCCTTGTATCCCCCAGTCGACTGTAAATGTAATACTGTCGTTGTTCTTCCTTCTTGTATCCCCCAGTTGACTATACAGTTATACTGTCGTTGTTCTTTCTCTTGTATCCCAAAGTCGACTGTAAAGTTAATACTGTCGTTGTTCTACCTCCTTGTATCCCCCAGTCACCTGTAAAGTTAACACTGTCGTTGTTCTTCCTCCTTGTATCCCCCAGTCGACTGTTCAGTTAACACTGCCATTGTTCTTCCTCATTGTATCCCCCAGTTGACTATACAGTTATACTGTCGTTGTTCTTTCTCTTGTATCCCCCACTCGACTGTAAAGTTAAAACTGTCGTTGTTCTTCCTCCTTGTATCCCCAAGTCGACTGTAAAGTTAATACTGCCATTGTTCTTCCTCCTTGTATCCCCCAGTCGACTGTAAAGGTAAACTGTCATTGTTCTTTCTCCTTGTATCCCCAAGTCGACTGTAAAGTTAAACTGTCATTGTTCTTTCTCCTTGTATCCCCCAGTCGACTGTAAAGGTAAACTGTCATTGTTCTTCCTCCTTGTATCCCCCAGTCGACTGTTAAGTTAATACTGTCGTTGTTCTTTCTCTTGTATCCCCCACTCGACTGTAAAGTTAAAACTGTCATTGTTCTTTCTCCTTGTATCCCCCAGTCGACTGTAAAGTTAAACTGTCATTGTTCTTTCTCCTTGTATCCCCCAGTCGACTGTTAAGTTCAAACTGGCATTGCCCTTCCTCATTGTCACCCAAGAACTCGTGCCCTTTAACTTTGACATTAAACCTAAGGCAGTGTCCTGTTACTGTAGAGCTGTGTTCATTTTAGTACCGATTCCTTTATAAAAGCTTTTGTAGTACTTTAACTTCGCTTGGCAGGTTGTAAGCTCGATTCCTGAAGTGGATGTAGCTATTGCTAAGGGCCTTAAAGATTGCTATGGACCACAGTGAGGAAATAGTCCTCTTCCGACTGGCCGTACACCTTACCTACATCACACTAACATATTTACGAAACGAAGATGTTATTGTCAGTTTTTTTATCAACCATTTACGATAAAACATTTTACAAGATTGAATGCACCGATAAAATCTTGTAACAGATATGATGTACCAAACATAAACAGTTCGTATGATACATTTTCTGTACAATTAATATAGGATCATCTGCATTAGATCTATATCTACAATAACAAATATTATTATGTACAATTTCTTCGCCGATTTACCTTTTTAAGTTTTTCAACATCTTTTAAAACCTTTTTCGCAAAGTAAAACGAAACAAAAAACAAACAAATAAATACACTCTACCCACAAAACATCAGTCGCTACAAAAGGGATACAAAAGTGGTTTTTGATTTAAGATTATTTTTCAGAATTCGTAGCCAGTATCAAAATCTTGTACAATATACAAACAATAAATATGACTTAAGTGTGGCCAACAAGACACAAACAATATGAAATGAGTGTAGTCATAACATATTAACAATGGAATACAGAAATATCCGCGTCTTATAAGGACTTTATTATTTATAGGACTCGAGAAGATATACCAACTCGTCAACGGTAAAGAGTATGTGCTTATGGTGGATCTGGTAGACAAAATGGACATCAGAAAGTGCTCCTATTTTGGCACGTTCAATATATCTTCTGAGGCAGACAACTACAGACTGAGAGTTGATGGTTATGTTGGTACTGGAGGTAAGACAATTACAGACTCACAGTTGATGGTTATGTTGGTACTGGAGGTAAGACAATTACAGACTCCCAGTTGATGGTTATGTTGGTACTGGAGGTAAGACAACTACAGACTGACAGTTGATGGTTATGTTGGTACTGGAGGTAAAACAACTACAGACTGACAGTTGATGAGTATGTTGGAAGTGGAGGTAAGACAACTACAGACTCACAGTTGATGGTTATGTTGGAAGTGGAGGTAAGACAACTACAGACTCACAGTTGATGATTATGTTGGAAGTGGAGGTAAGACAACTACAGACTGACAGTTGATGGTTATGTTGGAAGTGGAGGTAAGACAACTACAGACTGACAGTTGATGGTTAAGTTGGTACTGGAGGTAAGACAACTACAGATTGACAGTTGATGGTTATGTTGGTACTGGAGGTAAGAAAACTACAAACTCACAGTTGATGGTTATGTTGGTACTGGAGGTAAGACAACCACAGACTAACAGTTGATGGTTAAGTTGGTACTGGAGGTAAGACAACTACAGACTAACAGTTGATGATTATGTTAGTACTGGAGGTAAGACAACTACAGAATAACAGTTGATGATTATGTTAGTACTGGAGGTAGACAACTACAGACTCACAGTTGATGATTATGTTGGAAGTGGAGGTAAGACAACTACAGACTGACAGTCGATGAGTATGTTGGTACTGGAGGTAAAACAACTACAGATTGACAGTTGATGAGTATGTTGGTACTGGAGGTAAGACAACTACAGACTAACAGTTGATGAGTATGTTGGTACTGGAGGTAAAACAACTACAGATTGACAGTTGATGAGTATGTTGGTACTGGAGGTAGGACAACTACAGACTGACAGTTGATGAGTATGTTGGTACTGGAGGTAAAACAACTACAGATTGACAGATGATGAGTATGTTGGTACTGGAGGTAGGACAACTACAGACTGACAGTTGATGAGTATGTTGGTACTGGAGGGAAGACAACTACAGACTGACAGTTGATGGTTATGTTGATACTGGAGGTAAGACAACTACAGACTGACAGTTGATGGTTATGTTGATACTGGAGGTAAGACAACTACAGACTGACAGTTGATGATTATGTTGGTACTGGAGGTAAGACAACCACAGACTAACAGTTGATGGTTATGTTGCTACTGGAGGTAAGACAACTACATACTCATCAACTGTCAATCTGTAGTTGTTTTACCTCCAGTACCAACATACCCATGAACTGTTAGTCTGTAGTTCTCTTACCTCCAGTACCACCATACTCATCAACTGTCAGTCTGTAGCTGTCTTACCTCCAGTACAACATAACCATCAACTGTCAGTTGATGATTATGTTGGTACTGGAGGTAAGACAACTACAGACTAACAGTTCATGATTATGTTGGAACTGGAGTTAAGACAACTACAGACTAACAGTTGATGATTATGTTGGTACTGGAGGTAAGACAACTACAGACTGACAGTTGATGATTATGTTGGTCCTGGAGGTAAGACAACCACAGACTGACAGTTGATGAGTATGTTGGTACTGGAGGTAAGACAACTACAGACTAACAGTTCATGGTTATGTTGGTACTGGAGGTAAGACAACTACAGACTAACAGTTGATGGTTATGTTGGTACTGGAGGTAAAACAACTACAGACTTACAGTTGATGGTTAAATTGGTACTGGAGGTAAGACAACCACAGACTCACAGTTGATGATTATGTTGGTACTGGAGCTAATACGTTCGTATATTAATATTTTTAATATATGGAATGCATCCGGATTTTTCTAACGTTAATACAATCATTGACATGGGAATATTGAATCACGCGCTTACATGAACGCACTACAGCTGTTCATGTGGCGTAAAGTAAAATTCCTCCATGAACATGAAGAATACGGCAAGTAAACAGGAGGTGACCTACGCAGCCTAAGGCAGAACCTGACAGCAACAAAATCCATGGTTCCATATGATATGGATTATAATTCGTATAGTTGTCGTTTTCAGATGAAAAATGTTTTCAAACTCCGTTACATGATATACGTACATACAATGTAAAATAAAAATCTATCACAGTCCTCTCTTTGATAAAAAAATAAATAAAGTCAACAAATAATGCAAATATTTTCGATATTCATCTTTTGTAGGCGACAGTCTCTCTTTTCATAATGGAATGCAGTTTTCTACGACAGACCGCGACAATGACGTGAGGTCTCTCGGAAGTTGTGTAGCCGCGTTCAATGGGCCAGGCTGGCTCAATGACTGTCTGTCTCAAAATCTTAACGGATTATATAATGTACTGACTGGAGCGAATTCTATGTGTTGGCGAGCATTCCGAAATTTTGATGGTCTTAAGAAAGCCAAGATGTTGATAAAAGAGAAGGGAACTTAAATATCAACAAGTGGCAAGGTTAGTTGTGATAGTGATGCCAATAAAACGCATGAAGACTGGGTGTTATAAAGAAACAGTGCTATACTGTGCGTTATATAGAAAAAGTGCTATACTGTGTGTTATATAGAAAAAGTGCTATACTGTGTGTTACATAGAAACAGTGCTATACTGTGTGTTATATAGAAACAGTGCTATACTGTGTGTTATATAGAAACAGTGCTATACTGTGTGTTATATAGCAACAGTGCTATACTGTGTGTTA